GCTGGAGGATCATGGGGCTGAGGGGCACGAGGCTGGAGCACAGTGAAAATACACATTCTACTTTGCAGAAGCTGCACTTTCCTTTACTCCCCACTTCTTTGCCTCCCTCCCCAACTAGCTATTTGGCTGCATTCTCACCCTCACCTTTTCTGCGTTACTCCTCCAGCCCCCCATACTCCCACCCAACTCCCTTCCAGATCCCGCCCTCCTCACCCCATCCTGCACCCCACCGCCCACGTCCTGTGAAAATACACATTCTACTTTGCAGAAGCTGCACTTTCCTTTACTCCCCACTTCTTTGCCTCCCTCCCCAACTAGCTATTTGGCTGCATTCTCACCCTCACCTTTTCTGCGTTACTCCTCCAGCCCCCCATACTCCCACCCAACTCCCTTCCAGATCCCGCCCTCCTCACCCCATCCTGCACCCCACCGCCCACGTCCTGCATCCCTGTCCCACTCACTGGCAGCCCTGTCCGCACATTGAACCCCGCATTTTTGTTCCTACCCCAGAGCCTAAGGGGGTCCACAAAATCCACTAACTCTGGCACCCTGGAAGAGTAAATCTGGCCTTTGGGAAGCTCTACACCTCAGCCCTCCCCTCTCCCCCGTGGGGGTGAAGTAGCAGAGAAGCGAGGTGTCTAGCTGGGGACCACTTCTGTGAGGGTGGGGGGATTTGGGAGGAGTGTTTTGCTTCTCACTTGTGTGGTCCCCAACTGATTTTTCTGTGGTCAGTGGCCCCCACCCCGCCACAAATAAAGAAAACGTTGAAACCTTGCGTGTTGCACGTATTTTACTTTATTTTGCATGAACTTTGATAAGCTAACACGGGAAAGTTAAAATGCTGCATCTGTCCAATCACTGAAATTCAACCGCTCTCCCCAGCTGCAGCCCTAGCGAAATGGCTCGGGCGTAGTGGTGTGATTGGCGGCGAGTGGCCGGTAGCAATGGGCAGTCTGGGGAAAGGGTTGGAGAGGGTGGTAGACCCTGGCTTGCCCTGACATTTAACAAGTGATCTTGGGTGTAACAAGCCTGAGGAGCGTGAGTGTCCCTGGCTCTCCAGCAGGGCAGGCAGCTTGCGGAAAGGGTCCAAGAGATGCTATCACTGTCTCTGTTACAGCAGTGCCCCGAGCCAGCTGCAGGGACTGTGAGCTCGAGGAAGCCAGCTCTGCCAAGGAGATACTGGAAAACTTCTGTGCCAGTGATTTCGGTGAGTACACACCTCTGCTTCCCTCCTCAGCTACTGGCTTCCCCGACAGCCAGCCACATGGCAGCTGCCGGGGAAGCCTCTTCTATTTGCTATAGGAAAGGGACTTGGTTATGGCTCCAGCTTTTACAGTTTTCAACCCTCACCTGAGCACCTAGTCCAAACTCTTCTTGCCTGCGGCTTGTACCAAGGGCAACACCCTTGGTGCCAGGGATGTGAAGGACCAGCTGACTAGTCGCTTCCCCTCTCGCTGCCTCTGCCAGAGCGAGGCAGCAAGGGGGTGGGAAGAATCAGACTCATAAGGCTGGCAGAGCTCTCAGGAGTCAGAGTCCCACCCTCTGCCCAAAGCAGGACCAACCCAACTAAATCAGCCCAGCCAGGGCTTTGTCAAGCCAAGACTTAAACACCTCCCTAGGGAACCCAGCCCAGCGCTTCCCCACCTGCCTAGGGAAATCGTTTTTCCTAAAATCAAACCTAGACCTCCCCCACTGTAACTTGAGACCACTGTTCCTCATCTGCCCCCACTCAGAACACCCTCCCTCCATCCTTTTTGGAACTTCCCTGCAGGAAATTGAAGGCTGCTATCTAATTCTCCACCACTCTTCTCTTCTGCAGACTAACAAGCCCAAATCCCTCAGCTTCCTCATAGGTCATGTGCTCCAGCCCCCTCATTATTTTGGTTGCCCTCCACTGGCCCCTCTCCAATGCATCCACAAGAAGAGGGGGTACTTCAAAGTGGCAGCACTGCCGCTTTGAAAAGCCACGTGCATCCCAGGGCAAACTGGGGTGTCCCCAGGCTGCACATGGCATTTCAAAGCAGCATCGCCGCATGGTGCCCGGGATCAGCTGGGGACTCCCCCGCTGACCCTTGGCTCTGAGTGGCGCTGCCGCTTTGAAACGCCCCAGGGCTGTTGCTACACTCTGAAGGCTGAGCCGCCCTATCAACTAATCAAACAGTCGATGAAAAATTCATCAACTATTTGATTAGTCAGTTACCTGATACTTAACATCCTTACTTGGTACATCTCCGGCAACTTGCGCGGCTTGTACCAAGTGCAACATCCTGCATTTCTGATGAACTCTCAGCACAGGAGGGAAGAGGGAGAGGGGACAACCAAAAGCAATCGTGTGTTTCACTGTGGAGAGCAGATTCCCATCGAGGCAGGTGCATCCGGTCATCCCCAGAGTCTGTACATCAAACCCCAACACATTCATCCCAGCAATTCACTGTTTCTGCTCCAAGGCCAGGGGGTGGACCAGTGAGCTTGCTTAACTCTCAGTTTCTGTGAAGCTCTACAGCAGGGCTGGCTCCGGCCCGTGGACGGCATCAGGCCGCTTCCTATTTATATCCTGCAGCCTGTGCCACCGAATTTCCAGGCGGTGGCTCAGGCAGCAGGATCCTAGTGAACTGGCTCCCAGCTCCTGATCACGGCGCTTCCCTGGCAGGAGCCAGAGCTGCGAGCCTTTTAAGTAGCTGCAGTCACCCTGGGTGGCTGCCAGGCAATGTGGTAGCAGGGGGCTGGGAGCTGTGAACCCTTGGCTGTGTTGTTAATTCAAAGCTTGCTGCCCCACACAGCTCTGGTTGGGGAGGGGAGACTAGTCCCAGCCCCACTCCTTCCTCCCCAGGCACCGCCCCTTCTGGGGGTGGAGCCAGCCTGTGACCACATAGCAAAACTCATTAAGTGACCTCCCGTGAAAATCATTGCCCTACCCAGTTCTACAGCATTCAGCCATGCGAACATCAGGGCTGAATCCTGAACTCTGACGAGGGCATCAGCCCTTGCAGCCCTGCTCTGAGGGGAAGGCTCAGACTGGAACCTCGCAGGGAGTGCAGGGCAGTACTGAGGTGCACTGGGCAGATGCACAAGGCCGCCGGCACAACTGCTTCCTGCCTTGTGTGTCTGCCTACGCAGGGGCACTGGTCTCCTTCACCAGCACTCATCCTTCTCCCAGCGCAAAGGAAAAGGCAAGCGACACGTTACTGGCCCTGGAAAGGCTGTAATCACAGATTTGGAGGCTTACAAGTTGAACGCAGCCTCAGTGATTTGGCTGGGACATTACTGAGTCAGGAAACACCGATTGCTTCAAAACAGACACAGTTCTATCTGACGCCAGCAGACACGGGGGGAAGCAGTTAGCCGCCAGCAGTAAAGACATCCCAAAGGGAGTGAACAGATGCTATCAGGCGGGTAACAACAATAGGTCAACTGTTTCACATTTGCTTCTTCCAGCTGTGAAAATTAGGATTTCCAGGAAGAACGTGACCTCCAGCATTTCTGCTTTCAACATGGACTCCAAGCTGGAGGTTTTGAAGCATGGCCCCTTACTCCGGGCAGAAATCCACCCAAGACTCCAGCACTGGCTGGACCTAGATGCCACTTGTGTTCACAATATCATGAGAGGTACACACGCAGGAGTCTACGTCGTCAGTGGAGAGGTGCAGAATGACAAAGTGGTCGTAAACAAAGCCTATGCCTGGCACAAGAAGAACAGGAACCTACAGCTGGCTGTACGGCGATGGAAACATCACCGGTGCCGAGCATAGTCTGGTAGGCGGATGGGGAAGTCTCTGCTCCACTGGTAGGCAATTGCTTCCCTCCTGGGATCTAGACAATTATGTGTGACAATCAAGGGTTTGGAGACTGGCTCAGTCCAATGGCTATTTTTTTAGTGGGAGTCAGTGTAGTCTATAGCAAAGGTCCAGGGGCCACACTGCAGAGCATTTCACTAAGGAACTGCTACACAACACAGCTATTAATTAAGAGCTGAGGGAGTGAGCTGTTACTCCAAGAAATGAGAAGAAACAAACCTGCCTCTCCTACTGCACCGGAAACCCAGAGATTCTAATAGATGTGGCAAACCGGCATGGTAGCAGGAATAAGCAAACGGAAATCCTCAGGTTAGAATGGACTGGCGGCGCTACTCCATCGCTATCTTTACTTGCTCCCCTCACACTGAAACGGGATAGTAATTTCAGTCCTGTGGTTTATCCCTGACACAGACTTTGTGCAAGTACCATCTTGCTGCAGGCCCAGAGATGTTTCCAAATAGAGGTCACCCTGCGTGGTGGGATATGAGGGCCGTACTGCATTGGCCACAGGGCTGTCTGTAACAGAGAAAGGGCTTTACTCTCCTTTGTGCTGCAACAGATATTCAACTAGTAGAAAAAGGCACCAAAAGTGCAGCAAGTCAGTCATGTAGTTAATGCCAAACAACTCCTGAACTTCAGTCACTCAGCACTATACCTAGAGCCTGTCAGTTAAAGGAGATCTGCAAAGGAAAACGTTGGACTTCTGCCCTTTTTCCTTTCTGATAAAAATGGTGGCCTAAAAGGGCTCATTCAAAAATGGAATTAAAAAAAAAGAGTCAGTCTACCTAGGAAGACTCTGGCTATGTCTACACTACACCGTAGTTCAAAATAAGATACGCGACTTATGCAGCTCAAATTGCATCTTATTTCTAGAACTTCCTATTCCGAAACATCCCTTACTCCTCATGGAATGCGGTTTACAGGGACATTGGAATAGCAAGCCCAAAGTAACAGGCTTGCTGTGAAGATGCAGGATAGCTATTTCAGGATACTCCGCTATCCTGAAATAGCATTGCAGTGTAGATATGTAGCCTCTGGTGACAGAAGAACTAGTGAAGTGAGGACTTCCCAGGAAGCAAGACTGAAAACTGAGCAACTAGGAGGCAAAGGGATATTTAGACAGACTGTTTACAACTCTTTGTTAGCACCCACGTTACTCCAGTGACTAACACGCATTCTGGAGAAAAGCAGTCTCTGTTCAAGATTCAAAGCATTCCTTCAATGAAGTGTAGTCTGAGACCATTAGTCTTCTGTCAAAAACTGGGAAGAACAGATTCAATGCTTTTGATATTTCAAAGGTGAAACAAAGCAAAGGGGATCCCATCTTCAAGGACAGGGATGGCTCTCCTGACTTCCAGACAGACACTGCTGGACCTGTGAGCCACAGGCTTTGAAGCAGAGCACAACCATCACGCCCAAACAAGGAAGAGAGAGTTGGTTTTCCAGTATTCCTAGTGAAAGTAAGTGTCATGTATGGAATCTTTCTAAACTGGAGTAAATACAGGACTGAAACAGGGAAGCAAAGAAAACAAGGTCTGGGGGTAAATGGCCCCCCTTTGCTCAGCGGTAATTGACGTTTACCTACAATGCAAGGCTCGTTTGGGAGATGCATGGAACATCCGTTTGGACAGAGATGCATTACAGATACCGTTGTCTCTCTCTACTCTTCCAGTGTTGAATTAATTGGTGACCAGAGTTTCTGTTTAGCTCTGGCAGTATCTGAGGCTTGTGGCCCCAGGTCCTTCCCTGTTTAAATTCGGTTGGGGAAATCGGCCACATCGGGACACTTATGCAAATTTAATATCTGGACCACTGAGGCGGCACAGAGGGTTTTATAAAGTCAGGGTCTAAGGCCAAAATGAAGAAAACCCCACTGATCACCTAGTCTGACCTCCCAAATCACAAAGGCCACAGAATGTCACCAACATGATTCTTAGAGCAGACCTCTTAGAAAAACATCCATCTTGCTTCAAAATTGACAGTTATCCACTGCTCCTTTTGGTAAACTGCTCCAAGGTTTAATGCCTCTCAATACTGAAAACGCACACCTTACGTCTACTTCGAACGTATCTAGCCTCATCTTCCATGCATCAGACAATGTTAGCTTTCTCTGCTAGATTATTAAACACTAATTCCCTATTCACTGCTCTAGTCTAAACTCTCCAACTTATCAGCATCTTTCTCGACATTAGAACTGGACACAGCATTCCAGCAGAAACACATCAGCCCCAAATTCAGAGGCAAAATGACCTCTCCACTCCTACTCAAGATACCTCTCTTTACGCACCCTTCAAGGATTGCATTAGCCCTTTTGGCCGCCGTGGAAACTCACGTTCACCCGATTATCCACCAAAATCCTCAAGTCTTTCAGCTTTCCACCCTGTAAGCATGGCCTGTTTTTATGTTTCTAGAGGTGCACACTTACATTTTGCTATATTAAAAACACATATTGTTTGCCGGTGTCCATCTTACCAAGCAATCCAGGTTGCTCTGTACTACAGGTTGGACCTCCCTTAACTGGGACTCCCTGGTCTGGCATGGACCACAGATGTTCCTGGACCACAGGGCCCAGGAACAGGGAGGTCTGCCGGCAGGGCAGGAGCACCATTAGGGGCACCGGCAACTCAGCAGGGAGCCCAGTATTGGGAGGGGGACAGGTGGCACTCAGGGAGTTCTGGCCCCAGTGGTGGAGGTGGAGCTCCAGCCCCAGTGACAACCTGGGAGCTCTGGGCCCAGCTGCGGAGCTCCGGCCCCAGAAAGCAGAAAGCCCCAGAGGGCTGAGGCAGCAGCAGGGGCAGGCTGGCACCCTCACCCAATGGCAGCACGGCCAGGAGGGGAGGGACCTCCCCTGGTCTGGCAAGCTCCCTCGGTTGGGACCAATCAGGTCCCGAGGGTGCCAGACCAGCAAAATGCAACCCGTAGTGACCTCTCCTCTGCATTACGTACCACTCCACCAATGTGCACGTCATCTGCAAACTTACCAGTGATATTTATATTCATATCCGGGAGGAAAACCTACAATTGTTAAATAGCGTAGGGTCAAGAACCGATCCCTCTGGAACATGACTGGAAAAAACATCCACTCCATGAGTCCCTGTTTGCAAATCTGTGTTGAGAACGACCAGTGAGCCGGTTTTTAATCCATTTACTGCATGCCATATTAATTTTACATCATTCTAGTCTTTAATCCAAACGCTGTGCAGCACCAAGTCAAACACCTAAGAATATACTGAGATGCCCGGCATACCTTTCCCCCCAACTTACAAATTTGAGCCCAAACCACAGAGTTAAGAATACAAGAATGGCCACACTAGGTGAGACCAAAGGCCCATCTAGCCCAGAGTCCTGTCTGCCGACAAGGGCCAATGTCAGGTGCCCCAGAGGGAGTGAACCGAACAGGGAATTATCAAGTGATCCAACCCCTGTCGCCCATTGCCAACCCTGACAGACAGAGGCCAGGGGCACCATCCCTGCCCATCCCGGCTAATAGCCATCAATGTACCTATCTGTTAATTTCTCTCTTTTTAAACCCTGTTAAAAACCCTGGCTTTCGCAACATCCTCTGGCAAGGAGTTCCACAGGCTGTGCACTGTGAGAAGTAGTACTCCCTTTTGTTTGTTTTAAACACACTGCCTGTTACTTTCATTGGGTGACCCCTAGTTCTTTTCCTTATTCTCCTTGCCTCATGAGCTCTTAACTAACAATTGCCTCAAAGCAGATTGAGCTTTGAGATCTCACTGAATCGATAAAGGCTGCAAAGCCCCTGCCTGGTGCTTGTTGGACACTAGTGATTATCTGAAGACTAGTTTCTCTCAAAGAGGAAAACCAACAGGACAAGAACCTTGCCTAGCTCCATGAAATAAGCTTGGTTTCAATGGCAGATAATGCTGTGTCGTTTGTAAACGTTCAAGTATTTAAAACAAACCAACCAGGATTTCCCAGTAGAGCCCTTGGCCACACTTCCAAACACAAAGCTGATGAGACGTCGTACACGTGACACTTGACCTGCAAGCCGTGCTGTACTGCATGCTGAGGAGGCATTCGGAATATGGACTTGGCACTCACTGCTACACTTGTCCTCAAACTCTGCAAAATGGTTTGGTAATTAAGTCAAAAGTTTTCGCATTTAACTGGGAAAGTCCTTTTCAGACAGAGCCTCTTAGCTTTGTCTTCACACAACAGGGGTTTATTTCTTATTGATGTGAGCTACAACAGACGCTGTTCAACCTGATGAGAAGCATGAACTCAGTGGGGCTGTTCTAACTTCACTACACTGGGTTTTAAATTCATTTTGTTGAACTACTTGTGGGTAGAGACTTGTTTTCAAGTCACCATGGCCCCTGGGAGGCTCAATGGGCGGTCAGAGCTATCTGTGAGCCAAAGTCCCAAAATAAGAACTCCTTATCAGAGGACAAAGCAGAACAAGCCAGATAAGGACCTAAAGTACTGGACATCATGCACTGCTGCAGGTGTGACGCATTGCCAGACACCAGGAGCAGGAAACAAGGCCTACCCCAGAGAGGTGTTACGCTGGATTGATGAAGTACTGTCTACTGTGCCAGAAGCCTGTCTCTTGTCAACTACGGCGGCTCTCGGAGGCAGGTTCAACTCTGTTAGGTGATCCAGCTCTATTAGGTAAATGGCATCAGTCAGTGTAAAGAAGTTAGAAGTGAGGGCCTAAGGGAAACTAACTTGTAAAATCAGACAGACTCCTCACACTGCTCCCTGTCGTCATTTTGAGACTTTTTGCGTGTGCTCATTTTATACGACACCAGTTCCAAACTTGAGGCTTTGCACACAGCCAGAGGGAAAACTATTTTGGAATTTACAAGTTATGAATACTTTGTATTTAGAAATCCATGACAGAGCCATGTGTGTTTCTTAAAGATGCTTGTTGCATTAAAAGGAGATAAACAAGAAGCATGCCTGGTTTTTGCTCTAAGTTTTCCCTTTGAATCAGATAGTGTGAACTGCAAGGATCCTTTTTTTTTTAATTCATACCACACAGCATAAAGAATTCAGTGTCCCTGTTTTGCTCATCCTTATGCTTGAATCAGTTTTGCTGCACCTGGACAGAGCAAGAACGTGTACACAATTGTGCCAAATAAGATCCATTTACATCTTTTCAACATACTAACCAGAGATCTAGCTAAGAGGAATTGTAGTGTATGGTGGAATGGCTAAGAAATAAAAGTGTAACTAGCATGCCATGCCAAGTGTAGGGGAAGGCACTATTTCTACTACTGCCTTCATTTATTTCTTCTCCTAGATACTTAACAATAATGTTAAGTTGCCTTATTATTTACTTTCAGATGTTGCAGGATCCCTTATACCTCCCCAATATCTCAATGGGTTCGGCAGCATCTTTTCAAGGAGCTTAGGTTCATGCATTTTTTAAAAGACCCAAACACAGAAAGGGAAGATTGGGGGACAACACACACCCCTGGGAGAATTTAAGTAGCTTTTCAAACTCTTCTAAGTGCTCTGTCCAAAATTAATCATCTTTAAACAGTGGATCAAAACTTGAATGCAAGAGTTAACATTTAACCAGGTACCACAACATGATTTAAGAAATGTAACTGCTGAAGGACAAATGAACTAAGGATGTTAAATTGCAGTGATCTGGCTAATGGCGTAGTCCATACATGATAAGTCGGTAAGGGCCGCTCTGCAGAGGTAGCTCCAAGAGCTGCCTTGAGCCAGGATTGAGCAGTCCATGCCTCCTGACAGCGTTGGGAGCCACCTGCCGTACAGCTCTGCATTTTAAATGCAGCCACTGGGCTCTTACTACATTTAAACTGCGGAGGTGCAGCATCCCTGACCATTGCAAGCCGGAACTGCTCGGTCCCAGCTTGCGCTGAGTCCAGCAGCCCCGGCCACCGTGAACAGGGGCTGCTGCCAGAACAGACCCTGCATGAGGCCAGCTTAGGCCGCTGCATCTGTGAGGGGCCCCAGCTCCCCACTGGGACCCCCCGCAGACAGGGGCTGCTGCTGGAGCACCCTCCCCTACCCCCCCGGTGCCTCAGATAGCTTTTAAGCCAGCTCCCCCCAGCACTGGCTCCTGTTCCCCCCACATTGCTGCCTCTCAGATGCAACAAGGGGGGGAAGTGAGTGGTCGATACTCCAGTTGACTACCGGAAAAGCTTATGCTCATCCGATTGTCGACGACTCGCTAACACCCCTAAAATGAACATTAAATCTCTCTGATAAATTAAAACAAAAGTGGCTTAACCCCTCTCCCCCAAACCATTTGACTGTATCAAAAAAACTCAACTGCCACATCAATGGAGGTGTTAAAGGTAACAACATCGGAAGCAGTGCCCTATGCATGCACAGACCTTTCGGCCATACTCATACATATAACACTCCCAAGTACCATGGCCCACAGCTTGTACGTTGATTCTCCAGAGCTTAGGAGGTAACAAGGCAAGCAAAGACTGAGTCAAGGGAAAAAGAGTTTGCTGCCAACATCTTATGGGAAGCAGGTCTGTTGGCCTGTTCTTTAAACAACAAAAGCAACAGTACTGGTAACCAGCTGGAGACTGCCTTAGTATGTAAATCTTAAACAAGATCTGCAAACCCTGTCTAAATAACCTCTCCCCTGAAGGCAGGAGAAAGGACTGCAGATTTCATCGGTCAGTAGCACTCACTTCCATACATGCCCGGGGGATAAATAGAAGAGCTACACAGGGCCAACCCTAGGGAGGCTTGGGGTCTGGGGCAACACCCCCCCCACTGCCCCAGGTGCCAGGCCCAGATCAACTCCCCCACTCCCACTCCACCCTTTCCCAAGCCCCACCCTATTTCTGCTCCACCCCTTTGTTCCCAAGCAATGCAAGTCAGGGATTTCTGGGGGGGCTGGCAGCATAGGTCAGCCCCTTCTTCCCCCCCACTCGACACTCACTGTGGCAGGAGCCCAGCCCGCTGTGCTCTGCTTCCCCATGGCAGCAAGAAGAGAGTGCCCTGGCATGGTGGGTGAAGCAGAGAGCAGTGGGCTGTAGGGGGCAGAGCAGGCTGCTGGTCACTGCAACCCTCACTGCTGCAGTGAGAGAGGGGAGCTGACCTCTGCTGCCACCCTGCGCCAGGCCCCCAAGCCACATTCCCTCTAGGGTACGTGTGGGAGGTTAGTCCCAGCCACCTCCTTGGCAGAGCTGTGCAGCATGTGACAAGGCACGGTTAGCTGGTGGCGGGCTTCGTGGGGGAGTGGGACTCCGCCAGGCTGCTATCTACTGTCCCCAACTCTGCAGCGCTGGACTTGAGGCCAGGGTGGCTGTCTGGCTGCTTCCGGGATGGGCTACACAGTGTGTGGCTGCCCTAGCTGGGGCTGTGGTGCAGCTGTTCCTGGGGCCCCCTGCATCTCTCTTCCCACTTCACTGGGCTCTCTTCAGTCCCCTGTGCCCCCCTCCCCCTGGCTCCCCACGTGACAGCCTTACCCACAATCCTCCCCTCTCTCCAACCCTGGGCACCAGCAGCAGCTTCCCTCTGCCCCAGACAC